TCCGAGCTGGACCAAGAGAAGAAGGGCGTGGCGAAGCCGAAGGAGGGGCACGCCATTGAGCTCTCTGGCACCGTCAGCCGGGAGCGCAAGAAGGCTGTCTGGGACTTCATCTCCTCCGACCAGTTCGCCGAGGACGTGGCCTGCCTCAACCAGCCCATCTTCCAGATCGGCGCCACGCGGACCCTGGACAAGGTGAAGGGCCTCAACCCACCCGGATTCAACTGGACGGATTTCAAGGACTACAATCCTGCGGCCGAGGAGAAGCTGGACTGGCTTTTCGATGGGTACCGCAAAGGGCATGCCCTGAAAGATCTGATGGGAAGGAGCGACGTGGGGGCCGAGCTGGCGGAACTTCCCCTGGAGGAGGAGGAGACTCCTGGCAGGGCTTCCGGGAAGAAGCCTGTGGCCTAGGGCAGCGGCCACTCCAGAAACCCTTTCCGTCTCCTTATAAGGATGTGATCATGTTCCAGTTGAAAATGCTCTTGAAGGTCCATCTGAGACGGAAAGGCTCCCCAGGTCCTTTTTAATAGCCTTCTCCACCCGACCCCCCAACAGGCTTAAGGTGCGCCTTCAGCTCCTACCTCTCAACATGCTTAAGGTGTACCTTCAACTCCTACCTCCAGCAGGTCGCCCGCAAGAAGAAGGCGTAGTTAGGTCCCCCTTTCCTTGTATAGCTCGGTAGGCTTTGTAATAGATAGGCTGGAAGTTTTGTAATAGATAGGCTTTGAATGCATATACGAAATTCGAAGGATACTTCCTTGCAATTCTTTCCTGCACCCCACTGCAACAACCAAAGCCAGGTGCCGACCTCCTGGGTCGAGCACCAAATGCATACCCCCGTTAACCTAACAACTAAATCATTAGAGCGAACCAGATTGTCGAAAACCTGTGCCAACCTCCCGGGTCGAGCACCACGCCGTCCTACCAGGGCAACGTGCCAGCCTCTTGGGGCTGAGCACCAAATCCTTAAGGATTTTTCCCGCCGACCTCCTGGGTCGAGCGTCCGACCTTGAAGGTGTTCGTGCCGGCCTCCTGGGTCGAGCGTCGAACCTTGAATCCCATCAGACCAAACATAGTCCGCTCTATGCTGACCTCTCGTTGCCGAGCGTCGTGCTCTCAGACTCCCCAGCTTTAACCCTTGCCGACCTCTTGGGGTCGATCATTCACCTGGAAGTTTTAATCAGTGCCGACCTCTCGGGGTCGAGCATCGCACCTTACAAATTTTCAGAAGTGCCGACCCGCACCTCGCAATGGCGCCCGCCGACCTTCTGGGTCGAGCGTGGAATTTTCAGAATCTTTCAAAGTTTTCCAGTAGTACCGACCTCCTGGGGCCGAGCACTCCCGCATCCATCACTAACCCCTAACCCCCCACTAGGACATTTAGGGAGGGAACGCTAAGTGTGCTAGTGTAAGATTCAAACTCAAAAAAGCAAACAAGTACAAATAAAATCACAACTTGGCAGTCGAGCTTTTATTGAATGATGAAACTGAAATTCGAATTCCAAAGAACAGACAACCGAATACCCTGGTCTAATCCTACGCTACAAACAGTCGTAGATTGGAGAAGTGCCAAGTGCGGGGTACCTCTGATCCATCTATTTTCGCGAGCTTGCAGTAGCCAGCGCGGCTTGCTTCTAGGACCAGATATGGGCCTTCCCAGTTGGGGTCGAGCTTATTGGAGCCATGTGCCCGGCTGACCAAGTTCTTCCTTAGGACAAGGTCCCCTGGCTGGTACTGTATGGTCCTCACTTTGGCGTTATGATAGCGGGCGAGCTGACTCTTGTACTTAGCCATCCGTACAGCCGCCTCCTCACGCTTAGCCTCCAGCGTGTCCAAGTTGTACCTCAGCTCTTCCTCGTTGGTTGTCGCAACGAAATTCTGTGTCCGGGGCGAGGGGAGACCAATCTCCGCGGGTACCACCACCTCTACTCCGTAGGTCAAAGAGAACGGGGTCTCGTGGGTGGTCGTCCTGGGCGTGGTGCGGTAAGCCCAGAGGACGCTAGGTAGTTCTTCTAGCCAATTAGACTGGGCTAGCTCCAACCTAGTCTTTAACCCCTGCAGAATTGTTCGGTTAACATTCTCTACCTGACCGTTGGCCTGGGTGTGTCCAACCGAGGTGAAGTGCTGGTTAATCCCTAGCTCAGCGCACCAGTTTTTGAAGGGATTTTCAGCAAACTGTCGCCCGTTGTCGGATATCAAAACATGCGGGATCCCGAAGCGGCAGACTATGTTTTTTCAGAAGAACTTCTGAATTGCTCTACCGGAGATAATGGTCAGGGGTTCGGCTTCCATCCACTTTGTGAAATAGTCGATGGCCACCACGAGGTGCTCATATCGACCCGGGGCTCCGGGGAAAGGACCCAGAAGGTCTATCCCCCATTGAGCGGAGGGCCAGGGACAGTCGATGGGGATCATTTCCCTAGCTGGGTGGTGGCGCAGTGGGGCGTGCACCTGGCAAACTCGGCATTTCTGTACCAGTTCTACGGCATCTCGGAAGACGGAGGGCCAATAGTAGCCCAAAAGAAGGCACTTTTTGGCCAATACCCGGGACCCCACATGTGCCGCACATATCTCTTCGTGGATTTCGCGAAGGACGTAGTCACCCTCCTCGGGAGTCACTCACTTTAGCCAGGGAGATAAGTATGATCTCCTGTAGAGGGTTCCCCCGGCGTAGGCGTACTTGGCAGCTTTGAGCTGGATCCGGCGAGTCTCGGTTTTGTTCTCAGGGAGGGCACCCGAGCTGAGAAAGTTTACAAGAGGGGTCATCCAGGTGGTCGAGCTGTCTATTGCCAGGACCTGGACCTGGTCGATACTTTTCTGCTTTACCACCTCTACAAAAACTTCCTTATTCAGGTGCGCAAACGAGGAGGATGCCAGCTTCGACAGGGCGTCTGCACGCTTGTTCTGCGATCTAGGCACCCGCTCGATTTCAAATGTGTCAAACAGGGCTGTCGCCTCCTGCACCTTGGCCAGATACTTCTTCATGACCTCCTCCTTGGCCTCGTATTCCCCGCGAACTTGGTAGACGACGAGCTGAGAGTCGCTCCGGACCCTGATCGCAGTCACACCCATCTGGTGGGCTATCCGCAATCCTATCAGTAGGGTTTCGTACTCAGCCTCGTTATTGGATGTCGGGAAGTCGAATCTAAGTGCGTAGGTCAGCTCTTCCCCTGTGGGCAAGGTGAGTAGCAGGCCTGCTCCGCTTCCTTCCTTGCTGGAGGCCCCGTCTACGAACAGTACCCAAGGCTCTTCCGGCCTGGCCTCCTCTGCCAGGGCGCACGGCTCAGTTGTGGACAGACTGGCTCCTTCGGCGAGGAAGTTTGCTAGGGCCTGAGCTTTGATGGCGGTGCGGGGCTGGTAGCCGATGTCGTGCTCGGCGAGCTCGACGGCCCACTTAGTCATCCTCCCCGAGATCTCAGGTTTTGTGAGAATCTGTCGCAAAGGCTGATCGGTCATGACCACAATGCTGTGGGCCAGGAAGTAAGGTCGGAGCTTCCGGGCAGCATGTACCAGGGCGAGGACCAGTTTTCTCTGCTGGCGTATATCGCGTTTCCGGATCTTGTAAGGCGCGGCTAACATAGTATATTGGCCTTTGAGACCCCTGTCTTCGCGCACCAAAACCGCGCTGACGGCCTCGCTGCAAGCGGACAAGTACAGGAACAAGGTTTCCCCCTACTCCGGGACGGTCAGGGTGGGCAACTCGGCCAAATACGCCTTCAGATCAGTGAAAGCCTTCTGGCACTCCTCGGTCCAATGAAAGTCCTTGGGCGCTTTCAGGATCCGGAAGAAGGGGAGCCCCCTCACCGTGGACCGTGAGAGGAACCTATTCAGGGCGGCCATCCTTCCCGTGAGTTGCTGGACCTCCTTCACATTCCGGGGAGGGGCCATGTCCATAATGGCCTGGAGTTTTTCGGGGTTGGCCCGGATCCCTTCTCGAGAGACCAAGAAACCAAGGAACCGGCCCTACCTAACTCCGAAGGTGCACTTCTTCGGGTTCAACCGCATCCGACTCTCCCAGAGGATGCTCAAGATCTCCCTCAGGTCGGGGACGAGCTGTGGTCCTGCTCTGCTCTTGACGATCATGTCGTCCACATAGACCTCCATGTTCCTACCGATCTGGTTCTGGAATAATTTATTGACCAAGCGCTGGTAAGTAGCTCCGGCGTTCTTTAGCCCGAATGGCATCATTCGGTAACAGTAAGTTCCTTCCTCAGTGATGAACGATGTTTTTTCCCGATCCTCCTCGGCCATCTCTATCTGGTGGTATCCCTTAAAAGCATCCAGGAAATACAAAACATCAAAACCAACAGCAGCATCTACTAACCTGTCGATCCTTGGCAAGGGGAAGCAGTCCTTCGGGCAGGCTTTGTTGAGATCTGTAAAGTCAACGCACATCCTCCAGGACTGATCCTTCTTCTTGACCAGAACAGGGTTGGCTAGCCAGGTCGGGTAGTAGACCTCCATGATGATTTTGGATTCCAGCAGCTTTCCGACCTCCTTTCTGATCACCTCATTTCTCTCCGGGGCGAAGTTCCTCTTCTTCTGCTTCACCGGCTTAAAGCGGGGGTCTATGTTGAGGTGGTGGACGGCCAGGTCGGTCGGGATCCCAGGCATGTCCTCTACCGTCCAAGCGAAAACCTGGACGTACTCCCTTAGGAGGGCCTTCAGGTCATCCTTTTCTCTGGGCGGTAGCGACGCACCAATACGGATTATCTGGTCAAGCCTGTTCTCCCTCAGTGGAAACTCCTCGATCTCATCCTGAGTGCTCAGCTGCCGGTCCTCCTCCCCCGGGATGTAAGGCTCCAAGCTGGTCGCCTGAGCGACCACCTTCTCGTGTCCCCGGAGCATGACGAGGTAACAAGCTCGGGCCACCTCCGGATCTCCATGTACCTCGGCAACTCCCCCGGGGTGGGGAATTTGACGCTGAGGTGGAGCGTGGAGGGAATCGCCCGGAGGGCATTCAAAGCGGGCCGACCTAGGAATATGTTGTAAGGGGATGGCTACTTAACCACCACGAAATTGACAGGGATGGTCCGGCATCTGGGCGCCTGGCCTACCGTGACCATCAGGGTAATCATCCCTTCCGGATTGATGGGCGGTCCGGTAAAGCCTACCAGAGGTGTCCAAACAGGGGTTAGCTGTCCGTCCTCCAGGCCGAGCTCCTTGAACACCCTGTAGAACAGGATGTCCACTGCACTTCCCTGATCGACGTACACTTTCTTCACCCGGTAATTATTGGTGACGACGTCTATTACGATAGCCTCATGATTTCCGGCTGCCAAGGGAACCGCGTCCCTCGGTCCGAAGGTGATCTCCTCATCCATACGCAGACGCTTCAATGAATCATCTCCGTCAGGGGGAGGCCGCCTGTTCTTCCGGGCTGTATGGCTGTCTCCTCCCGTGGGACCCCCAGTTATGGTGTTTATGACCCCTGCCAGGTTCTGAGTGCCCTGGTCGGGGGAGTAGCCTCGGGCCGCGTCACACCGCTCAGGGCGGTCTCGGCGGTAACCTTCGTCCCTCTCTTCGCGGTAGGCACGTCCGCGCTCCTGGCCCGGTTGACCTTGCCGCACAAATCGCCCCAGGAAACCGCGTTGGACAAGGTCTTCGATTTCCCTCTTTAGGGCCCAGCACCCCTCAGTATCATGCCCGACGTCCCTGTGGAAGGCACAGTACCGATCCTGGTTCCTCTTATTCCGAGGTGTGCCCATTTTAGGCGGCCGGTCTCCCAGGCCCTCTGCCTCCATGACAGCCAGGATCTGGGCCCTGGGTCGAGTTAGGGAGGTATAGCCTTTCTCCGGGATCGGTGGCGGAGCAGGGGCTTTTTCCTTCGAGAGCCGATCAAACACATTCTTCTTGGCCGGGGCATCCTTACTCTCGGAGGGGTTTCCCCGTCCTCTCCGGTCCCCGAGTTTCCGATCTAACTCTCGTTTCAGGCGGCCGGCCTCCTCTGCGTTGGCGACGGCGTGAGCCCGGGTCAAGAGCTCTCCCAGATTCTTGGGGGGATGTTCGACAAGTTTGTAGTAGAGCTCCTCTACCCTTAACCCGTTCATAAAGGCAGCCATGACCACCTTTTCATCCTTGTCCCTGATCTGCAGGTTTTCTGTGTTGAAGCGCGTCATGAAATTCTTCAGGGATTCGTTCGGCTTCTGCTTGATGGCCATCAGGTGAGCCGCATTTTTCGAGTAGATTTTCGAGGAGACGAACTGGGCGGCGAACTGTCTGGCCAGCTCGGTGAAACTCCGGATAGACCCCGGTGCTAGGCCCTGGAACCAGAGTCGGGTCTTACCCTTCAGAAACATGGGGAAGGTCTTGCAACGGAGTGCATCCGCGGCGGTTTGTAGACGCATGTGCGTCAGGAAGACCGAGAGGTGGTTTTCCGGGTCAGTCGAGCCATCGTACAGCTCGATGTTCGGGATTTTAAACCTCCGAGATAACGGGTAGTCCTCTATCTTTCGGGTGAAGAGCGAGGCTGCATAGTTGTACTCGTACAGTTGTGGTCGCAGGATCTGCTCGAGCTCGTCTCGGACGGGCTGCCATTGGGGAGGGTCCCGCGGCCGGCTCTTGATAGACCGGGCGGGGGAGCGCTCCGCCTCGTTCCGCGCAAGTTTCTACGATGAGGGATTCCTCAGTTGACCCCCAGCGGACCGGTCGCGAGAATATCTCTCACTGTCCCCGACCACCGAGGCACGCGGTCTGGGAGGAGTCCGCTGTCATTTCCTCCTAGGGGGCTGGTCCCGGGACTCGTTCTCCGAGGGAATCGCGTCCCTCTCCTTCCCCTTCGCCTTAGAGGTCTGCGCACCGCCGGCTTCACCACCTCCTTCGCCTGCCGGATTATGTCTTCCAGCATGGGGAGATTCTCGGTTACAAACTGATAAATCTGCTGCCTCCGTTCCCCTGAAAGGGCCGAGCCCCCGGCGCCTCGGGCCGCCTCGGTCTCCATTCGCCGGGACCCCTCGCCGGTTTCGGGATCAGTGTTATCCACGGTTCGCTTGGAACGCGTTCTCGCCATCAACACAAACACTCGTACCTTCGTTCCCACAAACGGCGCCAACTGAAGAAGTACGGAACTTCCCCGGACCGAGCTGACCTGATGAGCTCGGCTTGATGGCGGAAAGAGCGCGTCCAAGGCCTGAAAGATAGACAGGAAAGTAAACTGGCAGGGGCCCTAAGGTTGTCCCCGAGGGCACTCCGACGGTCAAGTTAGTTTTCCGGTGAGTGGGGGGTGTACTAACAAAAAAGCAGTCGGGAGTGAATTGCCAATAGTGAGCGTACCTTGTACAGTTGGTATGTGTTACCATTTATACCCGTTTAGGAGTCCGACCTCCGTACGTTCCTGGACTTGCCTTGGATGGCTCCCAATCCCGCGCTGAGGGGGATTCTCCCCGCCCTCTGCGGGGTAGCTCTCGGGAGCCTCCCGGAGCCCTAGTCGCCGTGTGCCCTGGGCTGGTTCCCCATGGGCCCGGGGCGCAAGCCCATCTCGGATCGACCCTGGGCTGCCACGTGTACAAGCCCAGGACGGGGCCTCTGCACTGTGATAATTGGAAAGAATTTCTACCTTGAATTTACAGCAGAATGCGGAGTTGTTTGCTAAATGAGAATGAGCTTATGATTTAGTGGATAATTAATGCATGTTTCAAGATTTAAAACAGTCGGATTTTGACTACAAACTGACCCTCTCTTTATTGATGAACAAAAAAATGAAAATGAAAAGAACTTTGTTATTAATTCCAAGTTTTAACTGGCTTCATGGACTTTATTGTTCAATTAAAAGGAAAAAGTAAAAAATGAACAAAAAAAAAAAACATAAATAGAGAAGTAAATGCATAGGCAGAAGAAATAGTAGCTTGAACAAGTGATTCAGCACTTGGTCTCGTTGCTAAGCCAAAGCCCCTTGTCACGGAGAAGATTGAAATGTAATTTGGAAAATTAGGCGTTTACGTTTGCTCAATCATTTTAATTTCATTTATTTCTCAACAAACTGGAAGGATTATATGCAAAATCTCTACCATCTCAAGATGGACTTCTTGGAAAAAAAAAAAATTAACCCATTCGTAAAGAAACATGTTGGATTTATGATCTGATTTCCAAATTCATGTCTGTCATCATTCGTAAAACCCATTTTTTTAATAGGCGTATAAGTCATTTTTCAAATTGATAGATGGTGATACGTAAAGAACCAATAACTATTTTCCCTTCTTCCAAGTTTGTTGTGTCAAGGTTTATAATAGTCATATTGTGGGCTATTGTCCACCCCAACCCAACTACCTATACCATGGTTTGAACAGAACTCACCTAAGCCAACCGACAGATTCTAGCATATCAACATTCTTGTGTTCTGAGTTAATTGGGAAGATCCAAGTATTGCACACAAAAGAAGGCTTCCTGTTAATCATCATCTCTGGTAGATGATCACATTAAACAGCAGAACGACTACGGAGTTTGCTTCTTGTACAAGCAGGTCCGGTACATCAACATTAAAACAGCAGAATGAGTACGGAGTTCGCTTGGCCCGAATTCGACCTATTTTCTTTTCTAATTCATTGAGTTCGACTCGATTCTGACCCGAACCTACAAAGTCTTAACCCAAACTCATTAATTTCGTGTTAGGTTGTTGTCGTGTTTTCAAATCGTGTCGGAAATTGCCACCCCTCCATAAAATCCATTTTTTTTAATTGGCGATATGTGAAGAACCAATAACCATTTTCCCTTCTTCCAGTACCATGGTTTGAACAGAACTCGCATAAGCCAACCGACAGATTCTAGCATATCACCATTCTTGTGGTTTGTATTAATTGGGAAGATCAAGTATTGCACACAAAAGAAGGGTTCCTGTCAATCATCTCTGGAAGATGACTACGGAGTTCACTTCTTGTACAAGCAGGTCTAAATAATGGCCCGTAGTCATTAAGATTTAAGACATTGCACAGTACATCTTTTTTGACTTGGTAAGAAGACCTTTAAACCGGCATTTCAGATTAATCCCATTGGAATGTGCATAATTCGCGAAATTCCTTTTCTTTTTTTTTAAAAAAAAATCGCAACTATCCGCTTCGATAAAATTTTACAGAGATGCACTTACTTCGGCTCAACAAAGTATCAATGATAGATTGGCTGAAGACAACTTTTAATTTGATTATAATTTTTTGGTTAATGAAGTGGAGGTGAAAATTAATTAGTCCATAATGCAAAACATTAGGAATTTAACTTCTAATTGTGCCTTCCCATAATGCAGAAGATCACAATAGATATTCATAAACCTATTTCGTCTCTGGACTTGTTTATAAGTTCATTGTCATGGATCGTATAAGTTCTTCATTACTGAGCTGACACTTTTTAATACCAGCTTTCACGTGTATTGTTCTTGCTACATTGTTGTTCTGTTCTGTGGTATACGGGAAAAGAAACAAAAGAATGGTCACAATGGCTGATAAGCTCTTAAGAGTTTCTTATGAAGAACTCCGTCATGCCACTTCTGGATTTTCTCCAGAAAACTTAATTGGCTCCTGAAGTTTTGGTGTTGTTTGCAATGGCAGACTTGATAAACATGGAGGTATGCTTGTTGCAATTAAAGTTCTTGACCTTCAGAAAATTGGGAGTTCCAAAAGCTTCAAGGCTGAGTGCAAAGCATTAAGAAACATCCGCCATAGAAATCTAGTATCTGTCTTAAGTTATTGCTCCAGCATCGATTCCAAGGGCCACGAATTCAAGGCTCTCATCTATGAGTTTATGGAAAATGGAGATCTTGACTTGTGGCAGCATCCAGAGAAAGCTGATCAAACAACAAGACTAAGGAGTCTTGATCTTTCTCAGAGGCTAAATATTGCAACTGATGTTGCTTCAGCATTGCACTATCTTCACAACCAAAGTGAAACAACTGTTGTTCATTGTGATCTAAAACCAAGTAACATTCTTGTTGACAATGATCTTGTTGCTCATGTGGGCGATTTCGGATTAGCAAGGCTTCTTCCAAGAACTGCTATTACTTTTGTGGAGGAAGGAACTAGCAGTTTTGTTTTATTAAAAGGATCTATCGGATATGCTGCTCCAGGTATTATATTTATTGAAATATTCCGTTATCTAACTACTCCCTAACTTCAGCAACAGAACTTCAAACTTGAGTAGATTTTACAATGTATGACTGTTAATTTGTCAAACACAAAGAGGGATGGGTTGTTCATACACAATCAAGATGCTGAATACGTGTTAGAATGTCAACAACCAAAGACGGTTGGTGAAATAAAATTGGCACTTCACATGGTAGAATGAGTTAGAAGACCTCAAATATTTAGGATAAGTCATAGTTTTCTTGTTTTCTTTTCTGAGTTAAATCAATTACAATGATATCCTCTTAAGTTTTTGTCTTAAAAGCCAAGGTTTTCTCTGTGAACAAGATTGTTTTAGCTCTTAGTTATCCTCTTAAAAACGAGACAGAAAAGGAATTCAGTGAGATTTATGCAATGTTAATATAAAGGAGAAGTCGACATGATTTCAACGAGCTCAACTGCAATTTGAGTAATTTTACTGTGGCTCAATGCAAGTAGAATTGAGGCCTTTCAATTTGTTCGACCCTTAGTTTTTACTTGGCGAGTTAGATTTCTATTCTATATCATGTTTGATCAGAACTGTTCATTTTTGTTTATTTTTCATTAGAGGTTTTTCTTCATTCTAGAATACTGAACTGCACAACTTAAACTTCTGTAACAAAATTCCAGAGTACAGAACGGGTCTCGCAGCATCGACTCAGGGTGATGTCTATAGCTATGGCCCGCTATGGGATACTATTACTGGAGATGATTACAGAGCGGAGGCCAACAGATGATATGTTTACTGATGGCTTGGATTTGTACAATTATGTCAATATGGCTATGCCTGAACAACTTTCCAAGATTGTGGATCCAGTGCTTATTGCAACAGGAGAAGAAAACAGAGAAATGGCTGTAGGAGAGGAAGTAAATAATGGTGGAAGACAGATGGAATGCCTTGTCTCACTGTTGAAAATTGGACTAAAGTGCTCTGCAAGATTACCAAATGACCGGATGCACATGAATGAAGTCGTGAGAAAATTACAACTCGTTAAAGATATCCTTCTTGGTGTCAAGATTTTTTAAAATGAAAATCTTGACACTTAACAGGTAGAGTGGAATGCAGTGCCCATAGTTACTTTCTTAGTTTGTTCCCTCCCTCCCCTCTCCTCATCGGAAAAGACATTAGAATACTAATATGTTATAGAAGTTAGGCACTTCCTGGTTTCAAAGTCTACCATTGAAGCTTGAATCTACTAGGATTATGTAACAGTTTATGAACTCTGGCATTTAAATGGATACTTCTGCTGCAAATTGGAAGTTGGAGTTTTTTTTTTTTTTTGTCAGCAACGATACATTTGTATAACTTACTCTATCCTAATCTAGGGGGAGGGGGAGCCTAAGGAGGCTGTTATAGGGGCTAGTGGGGATACAGATCCAACTAGATCAAGGGAATGCTATGGCACAACCCTTAGATTTTTTTCGCTACTGGTGAGGGTTCAACCTCACCAACAGCCCAAGGAGGGACTTAAGTCCCTTGTCAGGGACTCAGCATAATAGCTATTGTCGTTTTATTCACGATTACTAGCGTTTGGTATACACAGGGTACAAACCCAAGAAACGTTGTCGTCTCACTAAGAGTTAGTTAGTATTCATTGAGTCGGTTGGGGCATATTTGCATAAATACCCCCACGTGATTGTAACCAAGGCAGTTAGGATCATTTTGTCTGAATACTTCAATTTCCAATTCTTCCTTTCTTTTTGTTAATCCTCTTCTCTCTCCTTATGTCCTTTCTCTCTCTTCCCTCTGCTAACTATCCGACCACCATTGAGGCACCATTGAGGCGGTGCTAGCTCAGAGCCTGACAGTTGGTATCAGAGCAGCCGATCCTTGGCTGCTATATAAAAAAAAAACTTTCATGACGGAAAGCACAAGATACCGAGTTCTGGAGGACCAGATGAAGAAGCAGGAGATCAGACTCCAGGAACTGGCCGAATCCATGGCCGCTCTGCATACCTCCGGGCAGAATGAGTCACGGCAGAAGCTCCAGGAGGAGATGGAAAAGAGTAACTCGCGAATGGAGGCAGTGGTGGGAAATTTGGACCAGAAGTTCGGCAAGTTGGAGCAGAAGTTCAATGCACTAATGAAGGTGATGTTGAAGGACAAAGGAGTCCAAGAGAATGAAGGAGGATCTGGTGAACCTCTTCTGCCCACACCGCCCTCGCACCTCCGGCTGCCGACTCAGGCAGACACGGCCGAACATTAGCAGGAGTTCAGAGGTAGAATGTTCACTCCTAATTTGCCTAGATTAGAATTGCCAATGTACTCAGCTGGGAACCCTAGGGAATGGCTTAGGAAGTGCCATAAATATTTTTTGAATTACCAAATACCTGCCTGCCAGAGAGTGGACGTAGTAGAAATGTTCTTAGAAGGCAAACCTGACAACTGGTTCCAAGGGGTGAAACTAGTGAATCCTGGACTGAATTGGGAGGAATTTAGTGAGTTGCTATGTGAGAGGTTCTCGGGAAAGGGGTCTCTTGACATAGTGGAGGAATTTAACAAACTACAGCAAGTAGGGACGATGGAGGAATATGAGGAGAAATTTGAAGACTTAAAAACTTTAATGCTGACTAAGAATCCCAAACTAGATGAATCCTACTTCATCTCTAGTTTTATCAGTGGATTGAAAGAGGAGATTAAACCTATGGTGAAGATGTTTAAACCACAGGCATTGTCCAAGGCATTTGAAGTAGCGGAATTACAAGAGTATGCATTGGAGATGCAATGTAAGCAGACCAAAGCCTCTGGCAAGATTGCTCTGGAGCCTAAGTATGGGATGTACAAAGGTCAAACTGGCGAACAAAACATGCCGAGTTCCTACAGGCTACCTGCAATAACTCCCAATACCAGAAGGACTGAAATTGCACATAAGGAAGTTGGAAGACTGTCAGTAGAGGAGTTGCAATACAGACGCAAGAATAACCTGTGTTACCGATGTGGGGAGAAGTTTGGGTTGGGGCACCAGTGTAGGCCAAAAGGCCTGAACTGCCTAAGTGTGGAGGAAGGAGATGACACTGAGTTTGAGGATGCAGTAGGGAAGCAGGATGAACTCACGGGTAGAGTTGGAGAGATGGCGGAAGTGACATTAAATGCCTTGTCTGGGGCCATTCAGAGGAAGTCGATTATGTTAATTGGCAGTATAGGGGGCTTGCCAGTTAAAATCTTAGTGGACACTGGGAGTTCTGACAGCTTCATCAACCACAGACTTGTTACCTTATTGCAGCTACCCTTTCAAGCTGTGAATCCTTTCACTGTGACCCTAGCAAATGGAACAGACATAACCAGTGGGGGAGCATGTCCTAAAGTGGCTTGGAGGATACAAGAATACCATTTCCAGTTCGACATGAAAATAATGGAGCTGGGGAGTTGGGACATTATCCTGGGGGTGGACTGGATGTGCCAGTTCAGCCCAATCACTTTCGATTTCCATACCCTCAGCATTGCACTCAGCAATGGAGGGGAGTTACTTCACCTCCAGGGGTTCATCAATCAGCCTACAATGGAGCTTGTAAGGGGTAGGGACCTTCGGTCTTTCATCCAGGAGAAAAAGAGGAGTTGTGCACACCTGCAGGCAAACTCCACTAAGGACCTTAAAGGGAGCATTCCGGAGTTGGTAGAACAGGTCCTGCAGCAATTTCCTCAAATATTTACTACCCTCACAGGATTACCTCCTGAAAGAGAGCTGGATCACCAAATCATTCTCAAACTAGGAGCAGAGCCATTTAAACTCAAACCTTACATGTACCCTCACTCACATAAAGCAGAAATTGAGAAACAGGTTGCAGAAATGCTTACGAATGGGATTGTTAAACACAGTACCAGTCCTTTTGCTTCCCCTGTCTTGTTGGTGAGAAAAAAAGATAACACCTAGAGATTATGTGTAGATTACAGAAAACTAAATGAAGTGACTGTCAAGGATAGGTTTCCCATTCCCAACATTGATGAACTGTTAGATGAGTTGCATGGCACTAAGTATATGTCTAAGTTGGACCTCAGGGCAGGATACCATCAGTTGAGAGTCAAGTTGGCAGACACTCATAAGACTGCATTTCAAACACACCATGGACACTTTGAATTTCTGGTGATGCCTTTTGGCCTCACAAATGCCCCAGCCACATTTCAGGCCTTGATGAACCGAATCTTTCAGCCATTCCTGCGGAAGTTTGTGTTAGTTTTCTTTGACAATATACTGGTCTACAGTCCCACTCTAGAGTCACATGCACAGCACCTGAAAATTGTACTCCAGGTCCTAGCTGATAATCAGTTATATTGCAAGAAGTCAAAATGTTCTTTTGCTCAGACATCTATGGAATACTTGGGGCATGTGATTTCTGAGGTAGGGGTTAGCATGGATCCAGAAAAGGTGGAGTGTATCCTGTCATGGCCAATCCCCAACTCAGTTAAGGAACTCAGGGGCTTCTTGGGGCTGACTGGATACTACAGAAGGTTTATAAAGGGATATGGCATGATTTGCAAACCTTTGACTCAGCTATTGAAGAAGGAGAACTTTGGATGGAACCACCATGCTCAGATGGCTTTTGAAGACCTCAAGAGAGCCATGACCACAGCCCCAGTACTGAGCATGCCAGATTTTGGTATTCCTTTTACAATAGAGACGGATGCTTGTGGAGTGGGGATTGGAGCAGTATTGATGCAACAGGGTCACCCTATCGCATTCCTCAGCAAAGTTTTATCTAGCCAGAACTTGGGGTTATCTGTGTATGAGAAGGAGTTATTTGCCTTGGTACTAGCTGTAACCAAATGGAAGCATTACTTGGTCGGTCACCATTTTGTCATTAAGACTGACCACTAGGCCCTCAAACACTTGCTGGAGCAGAAGCTCACCCACCCTCTGCAACACAAATGGCTCACCAAGTTATTAGGGTTGGATTATGAAATCCAGTACAAGAAGGGAGCTGACAATGGGGTAGCAGATGCTCTATCAAGGAGGAGATTTGAAGGACCCTACGAGGACATTGCAGCAGGCCAGGCTGTGTGTGCAATCTCCACAGTGCAACTAGCGTGGATGCAGGAGTTGGTGGGAAGCTATGAAGGAGATAGTGAAGCTCAGCAGAAGATAGCTCAGCTCCTGTTGGATCCCAAGGCAGTCACAGACTTCCAATTGGATAAAGGAATGCTTAAATTTAAGGACAAACTATATGTGGGAGCTGCCAACAATATTCGCAACAAGGTGATCAAGGCCTTGCACGATTCAGCAGTGGGTGGACATTCTGGCCAGAGGGGGTGCCTGCGCAGGATACAATCTCTATTCTACTGGCCTGGAATCAAGCAGGATGTTGTCACATTTGTCAGATCTTGTGATGTGTGCCAAAGGAGCAAACATGAGAATGTTCCCTATCCTGGGCTTCTGCAACCTATCCCAGTTCCACAACAGGCTTGGTCACACATATCAATGGACTTCATTGAACAGCTGCCCGTATCTCATGGTTTTGACACCATTTTGGTAGTGGTGGATCGATTGACAAAGTTCAGTCACTTCATACGTCTTACGCACCCTTTCTCTGCACAGCAAATAGCTCAAGTCTTCCTTGACCAGGTGTATAGGCTACATGGTTTACCAGAATCTGTAATTTCTGATAGGAACAGGATTTTTGTAAGCAAATTTTGGCAGGAGTTGTTTCAATTGCTGGGGGTTGGCTTACACTACAGCTCATCATATCATCCTCAATCTGATGGTCAAAGTGAGCGAGTGAATCAATGTTTGGAAAACTACCTTAGATGCATGTGCAGTGAACATCCCTCGCATTGGAGTAACTGGTTACCTACAGCGGAGCTTTGGTACAACACCAATTTCCACACCAGTCTACAAATCTCTCCATTTGAGGCGTTATATGGATACAAGCCCAGCCACATTCCTTTGGGACCCTTCCATGACAGTGTTATACCAGCTGCAGTTAAAATGGTGCAAGATAGGCTCAAGGTCATATCACTCATTAAGGAAAATTTGACAAAGGCACAAAGTCGCATGAAAAGTTTTGCTGACAGGCACAGGACTGAGCGTACA